CCGTAAACGCCCTTGGCACACGCTTAGACACTGAAGACATATATCAGTGTCTTCGGGTGCAAAAGCAGGCTTATCAAATGCAGTGAAACGACAGAATTGATTCTCAAAAATATAAGCACAAGTACTACCACTAGTACTAGTGGTCTTAGGGTTGTTGTTGAAGGGATCCAAGGCCATAAGAATTCCACCATTAGCAGACCAATACAACATTCCTTTGTAGGCAAGCATTACCGGATTGATGTCATCAAAGTTAAGGAAGTCTTGGGGGCATTGTATAACTGACTGTGTCCATTCACCAGTCTCCGATGAGAAGATCTCCACCCTGAACTGCAAGGGATTCTGTCCACGCTGACGAATTCGGTTCACAACTCTGTACCTATACTCAGAATTAAGCTCGATGCCAGCATTTGTACTAGTTATACGATCACCGTCCAGCTCCTTGCAGTTATAGTAGGCACCGTCGCATATGAATCCCGTTTTTGCTACAGCTCGATGAACTCTTGGCGCTGGAGGAAGAGCAACCCATTGCTTGGTGTATGGATTACAGATGTAGTAATCACGTGAAAGACCATCCTCTGGGCAGCACAAGATTAAGTCATTATACGTCGCGCACACAGCTAGCCGACCAAAGCCAGGGACGAAACTAAGAAAGAACTTGTGGGTCCTGAACCCAGACGAAAGTGCGGACATGGTAACAAATTCCTTATCTTGTTTATTTCGTTTGGTTGTCTCAAAAAATAATGTGTCCTCAGTTGTACCTTTTCGCACAGAGAGAAAGCAGAGGACAAAATAAGAATTCGAGATTAGAGCAGACCAACGTTTGGACACACACTTACATTGAAAAACGATTTTAATGCGAGGAAGTCGACAAAGGATTTCAACCAACAGATGTTGAGGAAGATCATCAATATTCATCTTTAGTTCACTATTGCTTCCTTTGGTAGCAGATTCGCCTATAAGGATGCGCAGTGGAAACGTCTTGGAGAACTAAAAATTTTCAATACGATATAAAGGAGGGTCCGGAGGGAAAACGGAGGGACTGAGAGGAAAGAGGATGAGAGGGGAACGGGAGGCCAAAGTGGGCGGCGGCTGGGATTTCTTTCCTTAGGGTTTTCTACCATTGAGGGAGAGTAAGTTTTGCTTTATATATTACATTTAAAAATAGTAGGCATTAATTAAAAGTTTAAAATAATCTTTAGGAGCCCTTGAAAGTCTCCCTATTTTAGAAAGTGGATCGGGATCCTGTGCTAAAATAAGAAAGTATCTCATAATTGTACAATAATTTATTATTTATATAAAAATAGGAAAGTAAATCCCTTAATTAATGAAGGAAGTAAATCTCCTTGATTAATTAGGAGACTCACGTCAACATCATGAGTCTCTACATTTAGAATTTACACATTTACTTGCATTTCGCAACATCTGAATCGTCTAACCAATCCAATGTTTATAACTTGGCCATGTTAGATAAGGTAATTTATGGTACATTTTTAAAAAAATTTAAATGATGGTAACTTGATGCCGTTACTCTTATCTCTCTCCTCTCAAACAAGGAAGTTTCACTAAAACACTCAAAATGGGGGCTGAAATTATAAAAAAATCAAACACCTAAAACACTTTATAAACACACCCAAAACCCATTATTGCACACACTCAAAACCCATTTATAAACACACCCAAAAAATATACAATTGTTGATTTTGGGGTTGATTTTGGGTGTGTTTCTATGTTTAAATAGTATTTGAATTTTTTTATAAATATATGTCTAGAATTAGGTTTATTTATAAATTTGTACTCAAACAACTCTGTCCTCCCCATTTATCCTCAAACTCCTCCTCGACTTTGAGAGTCGACCTGAAGCCTCTTGGACGTTCCATGTTTTTTCTGATGTTATGTCGTTTGTTCTATCTAGTGTTATGTCCGCATATGTACCTTTGTTTGTATACCTTCGACCCAAAAAGAAAAAGAACTGTTCATTTTTCTTTGTTAGTCCAGCCTTTTGGGCTTTGTGTGTTTTCGTTGGTTTTGCCTTTGGGATTAATGAATCCTATCTTTGACCAAAAAAACGTATCTTTCCTCTTTTGCCTACTATCTCATCTTTCTGATTTGTTTTTCACACGTAGCTATTGCAAGCGATTGTTTCATATTTCTGGAAGAAGAAAAAAACATTTACAACCACTGCAGCATATCAATATTCTTCTAATTGATAGCTTTTAAATACCAAGATACTGCTCGAATTGATTCTTCAAGCACATGAATTTTGATCCACATAATTTCTTAAAGGCTTATTATCACAAAACGTTCCTAAGGTTTACGAAACTATCATATGCATCTTTAATGTTTTTTTTTTGTCATTCGTGGTCCTTAAAGTTGGTATGCATGATCACAAATGGTCATTGCCGTTAGGTTCCATAAAAAACTTCATTAGTTTACTAACGTGACATATATGTATATTACAAAACATATTTGAGGTTCACACACCTATCACAAATGGTCCTTACGAAATTATTTAATTTTTTAAATTTAAATTTCATAAAATTTTTGTTTTCTTTTTAAAATTTTATGAATTATAATTATTTTAAAATATATATTAAATTTTAAATACATGTGACACTATATTATTATAGTTGTAGGCTCCATATATATGCCACATCAACAAACTAATGAAGTTTTTAAAAAATAATTTAAAATTCATAAAATTTAAAAATGAAAAAAACTAAAGGTTTAGAGTTCATAAATGGTCCTTAAGATTAAAATCTTTCTATAAATGGTTTTTTCATTTATAAATAATTTTAAATTTTGTCTGATACTTGTTCAACAAGTATCAACCACTCTATATAAACAGGAGCCTTGGTTCTTTAAAAAAAATATAATAATAATCAAATAGCAGATAACATTCAAAGTCATCATTCCTATTTATAGCCTGAGAGAAACACACAGATTTTGCTGGAAATCAAAGCCCTAGTGCTATGACTTTGATTTTAGATAGTTGTAACTTGGTGGAGCAGACGCTTGCAGAACTACAAGCATTGAGTAGGGGCGAAATTCTGTTTCAAGAACATTGCCTATCTGAAAGAACAGTCAGTTTTATTTTACTGTTTTGTTTAACTTCGTTATTTTATTTATTATTTAATTTAACTGTTAAATTAAATTATTAGTGTAATACTAATTGTTGTTCACACTGGCGGATTCACAGAGGAGCAAAGAGGTGCAGCTGCACCTCTCCTCGCCGGAAACTTCCTGGGGATGTCAGAATTTGCCCCTTCGTTATTGCCCACCAATTGTTCGACTAAATGCCTCAAAGACGTTGTTTTGTTTGCTGCTGTGTGAGACTCTAAATATTTACCTTAGATTGTTGGGCTCGATCTCACGAGCATGTAGGAGAAAACGGTTCATCAATCGGAGCTCCACAACCAAAGTTATGAATTTTCGAAGTTTTTCTAGAATTAAAGTTAGAGTTGCAGAGGCTCTTCGAGGAAGAAGAAAGACTCTGCTTCTCACTTTTGATTTTTTTTTAAATGGTCCAATAGCAAGCTGACACATGTCCATTTCTAATTGGCCTAACTTAAAAAATTCATTTAAAACTCATATGTGTGCCAAAAAATTCACAAAAAATTACCCAGAACTTTTAATCACGTGTACTTTTATCTCTGACCTCCAAATCACATGTGCTTTTGGTTAGATTAATTGGTATTAATTTTGGTTAGATTAATTGGTATTGACTTTTGTTAGATTAATTAAGTAATTGACATGGATTTTGTTCATATTTGATATGAATTTTGGTAAACTAATTGTGTCACTGACATGAATTTTGTTCATATTAATTGATATTCCATACAGACTGTAATCAATTAGTAATACACGTAAAATTCTTATTTGTTTTAATTACGAATAACATTAGTATTGTTAAAATTCTAAGGGCATTTGGTTGTCTAAATTAATTTTGAATTTTTAGCCTTTTTTTTTTAACACACTACATGGATATTAGACTTGAACCTTGGACCTTGCTCGAGTCCTTTACGATTTTTAGTCTTTTAAATCTTGCACCTCCCCTGAAAAATTCCTGGATCCGTCACTGGTTGTTCATTCAACAATCAGCAGGTGAAGGGAGCTGCATGCGGATTGAAGAAATTATATATGTACTAAACGGCAATCCATCTAAACACTGTTCTTAAGCGCAATGTAATGATAGAAATGCCCCTCCTTTTACCGTTGTTTTCAGTTCTGTTTTCTCTTTAGCACAGTGAATTTCCGAAAATGCTCTCCACTAAACCTTTTCTGCTCTTCCCTTTTTGCCCCTGTCCTTTACTAAATTTTTCCTTATGTTCCCTTTTTGCCCCTCTCTGTGGATGCTAACTCTCCCCACTGTTAATACTAAATTTTAGTGGCTGATTTATATATTACTATATTAGCATTGATGAGCATGTCATTCTTTATTATTACTTTACTGAAAACATCATCACTTGCTCTATGCTATGCATAGTAGCGTGCCTAATTAACTTCATAGTGTTGTTTTTGGTTGCTCTCGCTGATTTGGCTAATTAATTTTTCCATTTATCTACACTAACATTTGCTATTTTCTAAATTTATACCAACATAGTTAAAATCCCTGCAGAAGACAAGAAAGACCATAAACCACTTCTTGAGTAGAGCTAACAAGAGATAGATCCCCTTTCAACAAACATCAAGGCAGAAAAATCCCCTTCCCACACCAGTAGCATATATGCAAGGACACGTACAAATTCTTTTGAACAAAAAGCAGCTCAAATTGTTGATATTTTGATTGCTGCTTGATTTAATAAAATATGTCCAATATTTTAAGATGACAAGCAACATATAAAACATTTTATTAGTCTTTATTTTGGAACTTAAACTTACTACATATTTTCATAACTTTGTACATTTGTCAGACAGTTTTAAAACCCGCAGCATGACGCGGACACCTTTACTAGTGATGTTTAATACACAAATACTCGCATATTATTGAATAAAAATAAAATATATTAAAATATTTAAACACTAATAGTTGACTAAGTAAACAATAACTAAAGCATAAGTGGGTTAGCCCCGACCTGGCCGCTGCGAAGAAACTTGAGCTCCCCCAGGACCAGATCGACCGGCTCCGTCGGCTCAGTGTGGCCTTGCCTTCGTGGTGACATGGAAGAGGGCTCGCCTGGAGCTTTCCTTCAAAACTATCGGATGACCGAAAGAAGCAGACTCTCAACGGAGCCAGCTGCTGACTGTGAGATGACTCATGAACAGCCGCCAACGACTCCTACTGAACTAGCCCAGGTACCAAATCCCTCTACGTTCTCGTGTAGTTTCAAGGATAAACTAATGAACAAGATGAGCATGGCAAAGAATTTTGGGGTTGACGTGAATTCTTTGGAGGCCGACTATGATGATTTGAATGACGAGGAGGATGTTGTGACTTCTTGCGAAGAGCGTGGGCCGGGTATCCAGTTCTCTAAGAAAGCTATGACTCGTTTATGTGAGCCTTGGCAGCATGCGCTCATAATCAAGCTCCTTGGCAGACCACACACCTACAATTTTCTTCATGCCCGATTACAACAGAAATGGAATCTGAAGGGGGGATGGAAATTAATTGACCTTGTCAACGATTACTTTGTTGTCAAATTTGACTTGGAGGAAGATCTTAACTCTGTACTTACAGGAGGGCCTTGGATAATCTCAGGTCAGTATCTAGTGATGCAAAAGTGGCGACCTGGGTTCTGCCTAGCAACTGCCCATATTACTAGGATGGTAGATTGGATCTGAGTGTCAGCTATTCAATTAGAATGTTTTGATACATGGGCTTTAAAACGGATTAGAAACTTGTTAGGGAAACTGCTAAAAATTGACGGCCTCACCACTGCTCAGAACAGGGGAAAATTTGCCAGATTATGTGTGGAACTTGATCTGACCAAACCCTTAGATGCCTTTGTTCAGATTAACCACGTTTGGTACAACATTGAGTATGAGGGCCTCCCAGAAATTTGCTACTTGTGTGGGCACTATGGACATAAGAAAAGAGGCTTGTAGCCTTAAGACTACTTCTGCTGTTCAAACTAGTGAAACTCCAAATGCAGTAGGAGCAGATGCAATGGGACAACCTGCTGAGGTGGAAAACGAGAACTATACGGAAGCAAATGAAGGTTTGAGAGGGCCATGGATGAATGTGCCCCCCTGAAGGAAACATAAAGCTATAGCTACAGAAGGAAAAGGCAGGATCTCTGGAGGCAAAGGTCAGGGGTCCAGATTTGAAGCCTTAAGAGAAATGGATGACAATACGGAGAGTGATGGTGTGGGAGATGCTAGGAGTGCCAACCAGAAACAGCCAATTCATAAGGATACCTCAAAATGGACAGCATATACTGGGAAGAAAGCATGGACAAAATCCAAGGCCGCTATGCTTGGCGCTAGAACAGTATTGAATGACATTTCAAACAAGCCAGTACAGAAGCAGAGTTACATGAGCTTGGGCTCAAAACATGGGGATATCCTGAGTAGCTCAACTTCTAGGGCTTGGAACTCTACTGGTAAGTTGGTGATTGGAGGGAGGACAGTTATAAATAAGGTGTCAATTAATGATCAATTAACCAACTGGGCCAGTGGGCAAAACGTGTATAACTAAAAAGGGATGTATATCTTTGGGCATCAACCCCCCAATATAGATGGCAGCAGTGTAGAGCTTGGGAAGGAAACTGACACTTACATGGATGCCAACACTTCGATCTCTGATCCTCATGAGGATACCTCCCTCGCCTTTGCAGACTGTCATGTGGCTGAAGGGCTGAATGGTACACTGATAACACTGGTTCCCAAAGTTGTTAGCTCACAAACAATGGCCCAATTTCGTCCCATAAGCTTATGCTGCACCCTCTACAAGGTACTATCCAAAATCATTGTTGCTCGATTAAGGCCCCTGATGTCTACCTTGATAAGCCCTAACCAGGTTAGCTTTGTCCCTGGGAGACAAATAACTGACAACATTCTAGTGGCTCAAGAACTCATGCACAAATTCAAAAACTCTGGGGAGAAAGGGCTTCATAGCCTGGAAGGTTGACTTATCCAAGGCCTATGACAGGCAGAACTGGAACTTTATCAGGTTTGTTCTTAATGAAATTGGGCTACCATCTATGCTTAGCCAATTGATTATGTCTTGTGTTTCCACTGTAAGGCATCAGGTGTGTGTCAATGGGGAACTCACTGACAGTTTCACCCCCACCAGCAGCATTAGACAAAGGGATCCACTTTCTCCGCTTGTGCATTGAGAAACTTCCCACATCATTTTTGACTCTGTACGAAGGAAGAAGTGGAAGCCTGTGAAGAGCTCTCAATCCGGACCTCTTGTCTCCCACCTCGTCTTTGCTTATGACTTGATCTTATTTACTGAAGCAAGCACCCAACAAGCTCGAGTGATGAAAGATTGCCTAGAGAAATTCTATAGAGCTTCTAGCCAAACTGTTAACTTGAAAAGTCTGCAATCAACTGCTCACCCAACACCGGTAATGTTTTGGCTACAGAAATAAGTTGTATATGTGGGTCCCCCCTTTACTGAAAACCTTGGTCAATGCTTAGGGATGCCTCTGCTCCACTCAATAGTCTCCCGCAACACTCATAGAAAACTGGTGGATAAGGTCCATCAAAGATTGGCCTCTTGGAAGAGCAATCTGATTGTCCATGTCTACCTGTAAAGAACTGGACCGTGTAAACATAAATTTCTTTTGGGGAGGAAGTGCAAATAAACAGAAAGTGCACCTTTGCCAATGGGATTTGATATGTAGGCCCAAATCCAAAGGTGACTTAGGTTTCAAAAAAACCTCCGACATGAACCAGGCGTTGCTTGCGAAAATTAGATGGCTCATTCATTATAAGGATCTTTCGACCAAAAAAAATATTCATTATAAGGATCACAAAAAATTTCGAAACCAAATATTTAAAGGGGAAGACCATGTTTGACCCCTCCCTACATGGTGCTGACCTCCTTGTAAAGGAATACAATGGCGAATTGGTAATGGGGATGCTGTTTGTTTCTGGAAAGACCACTGGATTCTGCTAAGCCTTCGTTGAATCATACAAACACCTTGACCCCAGAGCAATTAAACTGCAATATCAACAACTTTGTCATTGATGGTTGGTGGGATATTGGAAAGCTGCGTTCTGTGCTTAGCAAGGACCTAGTGCAACAGATCATCAGCTCCCCTGTTGGTTTTAATAGCGATCTGCAGGATTCCCAGATCTGGAAGCATGTTGCCAATGGAATCTTGACTGTCAAAACTGCCTATGAGCTGCTATTTGCTAATAATTACTGGGTTGATTTCTGGAAACTGATTTGGAAACTGTTGGCTTACCACGATAAAATCTCCTCCAATGAATTAAGGGCAAAAAGAAATCTAATTGCTGACCCTTCCTGTGGTATCTGTGGTTGGACTTCAGAATCTGTTCTCCATATTCTTAGAGATTGCCCCAAAGCTGAGAGTATCTGGAATAATGTGCTAACCCATTCGCCAAGCACACAGTTTTTCCACGCTGATCTCAATGCCTGGATCTATAGTAATCTGCTATCTAAAACTAGTTGGAGTGCTGGGATGCCATGGAGCATTGGGTTTGTCTTTACTTGCTGGTATATATGGAAATGGAGGAATCAATATGTGTTTAATGAGGAGGAACCCCTTCCTTTTCGCCCGTTGATTGTTATTTTAAATGCTGCAAGAGAATGGTTCTCTAATGCTTATGCTCCCCAGTCCAAAACTCTCAAGACTCGGGTTGCTCTAGCTTGGGAGCCCCCTGCTGTTGGTGGCTTCAAACTGAATGTGGATGGGTCTCGAAAAAGTTCTAATGGAGCTATTGGTGCTGGAGGTGTGATTCGAAACTCTTTAGGGGATTGGGTCGCAGGTTTTTCAGTTAATCTAGGCAAAGGCCAGATCTTAGATGTTGAGATATGAGGGCTGTTTTTCGGCCTTAAATTGGCTGTTTTTATATATTACCAAGAGCCCAAACTTAAAAATAAAAACTTGACACAAAAAAAAAAAAATTTTAAATTAAAGAAATTTTTTTAAAAAAACACCGTTTCCATTTCCAGCCAGAAGAACTCTTCTTCCCATAAAACAAGAGTGGTGATTTCCCCACTCCTTCTTTTTCTCTATTTAGTACACAAAAGAGGGGTTATTTTGCTCTTACCTTGACAATTTTGTCTATGTTAATGGTTGTGTATATTTGCTTACGTAAAAGTTACTTGTAATTTATTTAGAGTGGTGATTTACCCACTCTTTTTTCTCCTATTTTATCCACTTACACTCCTTTTTTATAACTAAAAATGGAGTGTAAGTGGATAAAATAGGAGTGGAGAAATCATTGCCCTAAAACAATTGCAGGCTTCCTCTTCTTCTAATAAACAAATTGCATGCTTCCTCTCTTTCCATAAAAATTAAATAAAAAATTAAAAAATTTAACACTTCCTAAGCTACCTTTCCGCTTTCCGCCCTATTCTTCTCACTTTCTTTTGTCAGTATCAGACCCTTCTCTCTTCTCCCTTCTCCCACTCCCAAGTTCTCTTCCCTATCAAACCCAACAAAATGCTCTCTTCAAAGAAGCATATACAAGAGACCCACTTCCTCTCCCCCTCATTACCCCAAAACCACATCTCCCTCATCCCCTCCGCATATTCACCCCACCTTCCCACTTCTCTTTCCCGTTGATGAAATTGAACAATTCTTTTTTAATTTCTCAAATCTCACCACCAAGGTACTTTGTTATTTTTTTATTTTGTTTTGTTAAAAATAAATAAATAAAAAGTGTTCAGCCTTTCATTATTTTGTTTTGAGACGACTTCATTTCCTTCGAATACTGTTCTTGCATTGCATCCACTGTTTGTCGTACTTGTATTGTATGGTTGTTAAAATTACAATTACAAAATTGACCCCGGGAAGCTGAGTGGAAACAGCCCCAGCAACAATACATTTCCACCAACGTGTGGTGGAAGAAATACGTTGATAAAAGCCAGTGGTTAATTTCTTCTGGCACTAATCATGCGTTGGTTTGCTTGAATATGACATAAGGTATATATTTCATTTTTGTAGTGAATTTTGGACCGGGCTGTTCGGCCGTGTATTTTTTAAATTTTTAATAAAATATTTAATCCGAGTGCTAAATGTTTAAACCCATAACCAATTTTTTTCAAAGTCCAACTCTAAATCACCTCTCTTTTTTAGGTCAAATCACCTTCTTTTGTATAAAATTGGGCCATTTGTGAAATTTTAAGCCCTAAAAATAAAATTTTAGTTGAGTTTTGTAAAAATAAAATTAAAAAAAAAAACACAAAAACAAAAGCTCATAAAAAAAATTTATAACCCGTAAAAAAAACTTTAAGCCCAACTCCAAAATCGAAAACCGAACTAACTTATGGACAAAGTAGACCACACTGGATTGTATAAATATTTAATCCGTAGTACTGTCTTTTCCAAAGATAATTTGACTAGATTCCCAAACGGCAACGACTGTTGTTGCCAGCATTAAGTTGCAATTTGCAATAAAACTACACACTAATTGATCTAAGAAGTAACAATTAGTTTTCATAAAATAGGCAATGGGATGAAGTGCACATTCAGATTTATTTAAGATAAGAGATTTAGACAATATTGTAGTTGTTTGATCACATTTCTAAGGGCTTCAAGCCCAAACACACAAATACAACGACGTAGTAGTAGTAGAAGAAGTTCGACCCAAAAAATAAAAATAAAAATAAAAAGTAGTAGAACACTCATCTACTGTAGCAGCAACAAGAGTATTTCTGAGGCAGCGCATAAAAACATCTCTAAGAAGAACCCCATATCACACAAACCCGTAGCAGAAAAAGTTCCTATCGAAGAAGAACGTCTCTAATGGAATGCAGTTCAGATGCAGCTTCACTGATATTCTTTAAACGCTCTGTGGGAGATTCAGCAGAGCATTCAATTCCAATTCTAAATATTGAATTCAAGCACACCACAATTTTTTCAACTCTTCTCTCGTTGTTGCCTCCTTCAAAAAGTGTTGAATCTGCAATGTCCGTAACTCGCTCAGGTAAAGCCATTTTAACAAAAGTATGAAGGTTTAGGTCCCCATTAAACATGTCGTCGGTGGGTCGCTTTCCTGCAAAAATTTCTAACAAGAGAATGCCAAAGCTGTAGACATCTCCATTTGTTGACACCTCGCTTCCCATACCATACTCTACCATTCAAACATCATAAAATATTGTCAGCACATTTGTGAATAGAATAGCTGAATTATGTAAGATAACAGGTAAAAAAAGGACAGTAAAGCATATATGATAGAAAATTTTACCTGGAGCAGCATAACCAACCGTTCCTTTTATTCCAATGGAACTTGTGTGATTGTTGGAAACATTAATACCAGCTTCTTGGGAGAGAAATCTTGCGAGTCCAAAGTCAGAAACATGTCCAGTTATCTCGTTGTCCAAAAGAACATTGCTTGGCTTGAGATCACAATGAATTATCGGTGTTTCACAATGATTATGAAGATAATCCAATGCACAAGCAACATCAATGGCAATCTCTAGCCTTTGCTCTAGATTGAGTGCCTCTCTTACCTCTGCAATTTCAGTAGGATGATGCAGCCACTCCTCTAAGCTTCCTCTGTCCATGTATTCGTAAACCAGAGCCTTGAAGTCATTACCATGAAAGTCAACACTAGAACACGCAGTTATAATCTCGACAAGATTTCGATGCTTGATGTTTCTTAAAGCCTCACATTCGGCCATGAAACTCTTTGATGCTCCATGGCGTAACAAGTTGAACACCTTCACAGCAACAAGTTGATGTTTATCATTATCATCAAGAATTCCTTTGTACACAGACCCAAAACTGCCTGCACCAATCAAATTAGCCGAAGAGAACTCGTCAGTAGCTCTTAGGAGAGTAGCATATGACACTTGCAAAAAATTGTTCGCCAATGTGCTCAACGGAATTTCTTTCCTTTTCTTTCTCGACGAACAAAGAAAGAAACAGTAAATCACCATAGCAATCCCGAGAAGAGCAAGTCCAGAAAGTACTAAAGGGATTATTAATTTCAATCTACGAGATGATCCTCCTTTTTGGGACTTGCACTTGGGCAGTTGCAGATCAGCAATACCTCCACAGAGCTTGGTGTTGCCAGTAATTGAAATCGCACTTGCATTTTTAAAAGCACCTCCTCCAGTTGGCACCGCTCCCCAAAATTCATTGAATGAGAGGTCTAGTTTCTTCAACAAGACAAAGCCCTCTAAGAATTTTGGAATTTCACCCGATAAATTGTTGCGAGAAAGGTCTAATTCTTCTAAGGCTTTCATCCCGATCATAGATGAGGGAATAGACCCCTTGAAGAAGTTGTCTTGCAAGTGTAAGACTTCTAAACTCTCACATGAACCAAGGCTACTAGGAAGTTCTCCGGATAACATGTTATTAGAAACGTCCAGTACACCTAGACTCTTCAACTTCCCAACCTCCGTCGGAAGAGAACCCGTAAAGTTGTTCGTCGACAAGTTCAAAAGCTGTGATAAGGACGGGAGGCCGATAACTTGTTGAGGTATTGCGCCACTAAGTTTATTATTAGATAAATCCAATAATATCAACCGCTGGCAATTCTCCAAGCTTGAAGGGATAACGCCTTCAAGATTATTTCCTTGTAAGGAGAGTTCGTATAACTTGGTTAAATTTCCTAAAGAGGACGGAATGCTTCCTGATAATGTATTAAAAGAAATATATAATTCCACAAGGCTTGAAAGCTTCTGA